ATATATACATATAAAGGCCATTGCACATGACAAAATTTAGTTGTAATCGTAAGATTGTATGTACAGGTTATGTACCGTAATTGTCAGAGAGAGGATGTTTTAAAGACATTTTGTCTTGTCGCAGAATTCCACTGATTGTTTCGCAAATCTTCGTTCTTCGAGATCAGATTCGGTGCAGTATCACGTGGTCGAACGATTTCTGGCTCCGATTTGAATCAGACGATGTCTAAGAGCGTGTTTCGGACAAACGTAAATTGTGAGGTATAATTAGAGAATATTGAGATAAGAATGGCTGATAAAAAGTGACAAAGACGTTACAAGATGTCGTCAATAACGAAGACACTGAGTGCATGGTGCATCGTAGACGCCGAGATTGACGGCGATGACAAGGACTCGGATAAGGTTATTGTTCCGGAACTTCAGGGTACATCCAAATGGACAAATTACATACATGGCTGGCAAAATAGATTTATTGTACTCAAAGATGGTACTTTGTGTTATTACAAATCCGAGCAGGACAGAATTTGGATTTGGATGTCGTGGCTTGGTTAGTTTGTAACAAAGCTAATATCAAGGTAAGAAAGTTGTGTATGACAATTCTGCATTGTATACCTGATAATTTGAACACATCATGATTCAGCAGTTAAAATAATGAGTTTGTGTTAAGTAATTTATTTTTCTTAGGCACATCAATTTGATGTATGCAGATTTGATGTATCTGTTAATGACTGCTTAGTCTGGTATTTAAGAGCAAGCAGTTCAGAAGAAAAGCAACAATAGGTAGGATTTGAAGTCTTATAGAGTAATTATTTAAACTATTGCACAAAATTATTTTGAAATGATATGTGTGTGTTTGTGTGTTGATAAAGAAGCCTGTGTCGTTTTACTTTGCTTACAAAATTTTTTTTATTTTATTACTTAAAAACTCTGGAGTATGTAAAATAAAAATTAAGATGTTGGTTTGCATTTAATTAAAAACTAATAGAGTTTCTGTTTACACAAATTTCTCAAAAAGTCCGAATTTGGTCATGGAAGTGAAAATAGTCTCAAATGACATGGTAGTGCCATTTAACTTATGTCCAACACACAATTAGCAATAAGCGCTGGTAGCTTCAAGCATGGTATTCGAGGACTAAAAGAAAAATTAGTCGAAATAGAAATATTCAGAGACATTCTGATAAAGCAGATTGATACCTTGCAAAAGTATTTTGATAACTACAGAAAATGCCAAGAATACTTTCAAGAAAGGTAATAATTCTTAGTTTTTACATATCTTCCTTGTTAAATGTTACATGATTATAATGTAGATTAATGTTTCATCACCCTGATAGGAAACCATTTACAAAATTATGTGATGAAATCTTGCACTAAAATTGTAATTTGCAATTATACAGACATATTTTAGGAAATAGAAGTAAAAACATTGATCTTTTCTGAAATATTTGTAGTTGTTTGCAACATTACTTTCCAAATACTATTTCGGCAAAAGAATAAC